CCAAATAAAATACTACTCATGTCTAGGTCAAGGCGGACTATCCTGCCTGTCCCGTCAAAAAATGTCATGGATGTTTGCGTGGCCAAGACCACAGTAAAAAGCCTTCGCGCCCTTTACACCGCGAGCCGAGAGGGGATGAGAAGGGTATATCAGCGGACGAGGTCTAGCAACACGAAGCACACCCCATCAACAAAGTTCATCCCCAATGTGACCTTCGTGAACTCGGACAGTGGTAACTACGCCCACGCGCATCCAGATATGCCCGCTACACGAAGTGCCCTCCACAGCCCCAGTAGAAACTCTTTCACACTGAGCCAGGTCCCAAAAGACGACGGTATCGTGACACATGGGAGTTCTCATTGCTGACTGTTGTCTCCCAGTCATTCGAATTCTGATGACTATGTCGAGATGAGGCATGTTGCTGTTTCCTAGCAATATCCTTGCCCAGGCAGGGCACATTCGTTTCTGATGGCTCCGGGCAGGTCCAAGGACAGGGAAGTTGACGGAGTGGCAACATAGGCAGTGACCGGCTGCAGTTGTGCTGGGGCCTCCTTGGATGACGTCCTGCCCTCCAACAGGCGATTCCAAACCCGAAAACATAAAAACAACGCAAAGTTTACAAAGGCCATACAGCATTTGACAGGAGCCCACAACTAAATGGTTCGACAAGGCACATGATCTTCATGCCTTAAGCGATGAAACAAAGCTGTTCCACCAGTGGCATGCATCCTTAGCCAAATGCTGCGAGAAGCAAATCTGTCGTCACAGGTTGCTTCTGAATCAAAGCTTCCAGGCACGCAAACCGCATGAAGCAGAAACATATGAAGGCTAGCGTGATCTTGAACATCATAAGTTCACTATGCAACCGTCAGACAGCAAGTCCTCACAACAACATACAAAAACTGTCCGCCAAACATGTCTTCACATCTATTCCGTGCTGTAATGTTGCTTCGTGGATCCTGCTGTCCGGCTTTTGGGAAAGTGTGCAAGCAATCATACTGTGTGGCGTATCTGTGCTTCTGAGCAGCTCCCTTCGGAGCTCGTTGTTCTCTAGGGCCAGCCGCTCATACTCCGCACTGAGGGCCTTCAAGTACCTGTGGAACGGAGCGTCGCCGATGGTCATGGCTGCAGCAGCGAAGGAGGAATGTTGCGTTCACAGAAGAGGCCTGAGATTTAGCCTACTGGGGCTGGCGATGATGCCGCACCCACCAAGCGATAGCTGGGAACCGCATTTGTATAGCCAGCGAACAATGAAGAAGCTCTGAAGGCAACTTTAAGGTCTGCGTCGACTGATGGGAAGCACGCGCAGCTTTTCATTTTGGTAAGGCTCCCTTTACCTGGACTTTTCCTAGCCTTGAGCCAACTCCAATTTTCATATCCGATTGTGGACGAAGAAAGCGCGGCAGCACACATATGAATCACGTGCCGGAACACTTACTCCAGTCTTCCAAATGGAATCTTCAAGCACGATGGCAGCAAAGCGGAGCAGAAACAGGGCTCCAGCTACATTCAAAGGAAACCAGTAGCTGGAGCCAAGTACAACTTGAAGGGCAAAAATGCCACGCAGTTGCCAGGAATCTGCGATTGATCTACATCCAACTGACGCAGAATTCAACCGCAGCAGCGAACCCCCACGCTTCGCTTTGCAAGAGGCAGGGGTGCTTCCTGCTCAACGTCAATTAGACCAAAATGCTGACATCCTTCAGCTCAGTCATCCAAGGCCCCCAGTAGCCTAGCGTTTGCCAAGTAGGGGAGCACAAACTCATGATTTGATCTGAACTTATAGGTGCACTTTGCACACTTGTCAGCTGACCGTGTGGTAGAAAATATTCACCACAAATCCCTCACAATATTCCTCGGCAAAACAGAACTGCGGCCGAGCAGCCCCTGTACTGTGTCTTAGCTTTTTGGCATGCAGCCATATCCTTGGAGCCTCTGTCTGGAGAATATGTAGTCTTTTGCAACTCGTCCACGCGAGCCAACATCTCGTAGAACAAATCCGGCTTGATTGCAGCAAGCCTCGAAAGCTGGATGGAAAAGCTTCACAAATAATCAGGCGAAAAAGGAAGCAAAGGGGTGAATTGGAAACGGGAGGCAATTGGGAACACGGGAGGCAATTGGGAACACTGACGCAACATGAGAGAAAACAGCAAAAACAACATCAGCACTTGATCAGAAGAGCGCAGCAGCAGCAGCAGCAGCAGCAGCAGCAGCAGCAGAAGCAGCAGCAGCAGCCGCAGCAGCAGCAGCAGCCGCAGCAGCAGCAGCAGCAGCAGCCGCAGCAGCCGCAGCAGCCGCAGCAGC